CAAAACCCTAAATCCCAAACCCCTAAACCTTGAATCCCAAACCCCTGAACCCTGAATCCCAACTTCAAACCCCTAAACCCTGAATCCCACAAACCCCTAAACCCGAAGCCCCTAAATCCCAAACCCCTCAGGCTCCATGTTATATACTACGGTTGATGATATAAAACCTGCATTACGCATAATAAGGAATATACCATAATTCCCATAGTTTAGCGTCCTTAAGGTATTGCAGGATTTAGATCAGCAGCAGTATAAATATAGGCCTTTAAGTACCTATAGAGAGGAACCCCTTTCAAGGGCTAAGTATATACTGCTTGGAGGTTCATGGGTAGTCATACTTGGAGTTCTAAGTCCCCTAATATAGGTTATAACTATAGCTACCCTACTTATAACCCTACTTATAACTTCCCATGAACCTCCCAGTACGTGCGTACATGGATAGGGATCTGGTTATAGGCTACAGACCACCGAGGCTTCTGAAGTTTTTCAGACTCGAACAAGCCTGAAACCCAATGGCTCTCCGATTTAGGGGTTTAGGGGTTTGGGGTTTAGGGGCGTCCTAAACTCTCTCACCTTACATGGCTTATATGATGAGATGTTCGAACACTGTATAGAACCGCAATAGAGCCCACCTGGTCCGTCGGCGCACCCAGTAAAGTCTTCGCTGGCAATTTGGGCCTGGTTTAGGGTTTAGGGCTTCGGGTTCGCAGCGGTACCAAGGTGGACTTGCCGCTTTGGGGTTTCGGGACTAACGGTTCGATAAACATGAGAGGTTCCAGTTTGCCTTTTAGCTCCTTGCTGTAATCAGGTTCAGCCTCAACCCTCCACTGTGGACTCAAGCCTAAAACTACCTCAATGATAACCTTGTATTTCGTGGGGTTCGGGGTTCCCAAAACCCGACAAAATGACCGAAACCCTGTACTCCAACCCAAGGCCCCCACCCGTAGAGCCCGAACCCCAAACCCAAACCCCGAACCCTAAACCCTAAACCCTAATTCTGAACCCTATACCCTAAACCTCAAATCCTGTACGATAAGCAAACGACCGAGGCCCCCGACAGACCGCCGTAGCGGCTGCTCGCCAAGCTTTGTAGCCTTACGCAGGACCCAGGATTTAAACATCCCTCAAGCTAGTTTCGGGTCTCGGGTTAGGCTTGGTCGGGTCTAGGGATTGAGTTGGGGTGTGGAGGTTATAAACGGGTTTGGGCTGCTTCCAGTTCATCCTCCAACAGCTTTGAAGTATCCCGTGGTTCTGGTTCCAGGGGATCCCTGATAGTAGGGGTGTTCCAGGTATATGTAAGCTTGAGGAAGGCCCAAGGCTGTATATTACTGGGCTTGTCTGGAAGCACCGCAAAAGCGTAGCTTCCTGTCTTAGGAACATAGACATACGGAGCAGAAAGAGAGATGAGTTGCACGAAATTGGTTGGGGTTAGAGTTTAGCCAGGTTTGTCGTTTAGGGAGTGGCTTGGGAATTCTCAAAAGATGCAGATTAAAGACTAAAGTGTCCTTATGTACAATCTCGGGACTATTCAGGGATACTAGTACCGGCGATTGCGTCCAAAGTTTTCTATTGCCTGCACGGGTTCTAAAAGTTATTAAAAAAGCTACGACGAGGGGGCTGGGGCTGCAAGCTAAAGAGGTGTCCAAGTACCTGTCTAACGGCTCGTCAATCGGTGTAGTTTACAGATGTAGTCCCACATGCACTTCAGCCTGAAAGACATTGACCTGCTCCAGGGTACTCCCTTAACATCGAACGCAGTGTCTGACAGATGCGCGAAGATGACGAAATGCAGGAGCTCGAATAATGTAGAGGCCTTCATAATTAGAATGGGATTTTGGGGCCCATTATACTATAACTATAATATGGACCCCCCCCCAAAAAAAAAAAAAAATAGCATAGGTATTTATTGAGGCCCCTACATTACGTTTTGACTCGCTCAGGTTTGGCTGACCGTCCTGTACCCCAGCCTGTCTGCTGCAGCATGGGATGGGTTCTTGTTAATTTACAGTAACCCTAAAGGGTCCTAAGGGTCCATGTATCCATATGAGCATACTTTGACCCTAAAGTACCCATATAGGGACTACATTAAGGCCTAAGTATATACTATTTGGGTACACGGACCCCGAGGGTAAGTTACAACGATAAGGAAACCATGCTATTTACGATAGATCCCTATTTGCCTGTTATGGTAACTTACATTAAGCTCCTTAACAAGAACCCAGGCATTGGCTGGCACTTCAAGCAACCCATGCAAAGCGAGTCAGCCGGTGGTTGTTCTACAGTCATGTGATGTAGACCGCGATGGTGACGGTGATGATGGCCTATGATGATAATGGGCATGGTGATGATGGTTGCCATGTAGCTTTATGACTGCTAGTATTTTGTTGAATGGGATCGGGACGGCTACTATTTCTACCGACGATTACTATTATGGTGACACTTCTTGAGAGCACTTAACTCACGGATGTGACCCCTGCCACCAACAACGAAGACTGGGCAACCCGCACTGTCGAACAACTCCGAGTCAAAGAACGGGCTGCAAAACACAAACGCAACCCCAGCAGTTGGCACCGGTAAAAGGCCGGGAAGCGGGGCGCGGCACTGCTCCCGCTAGCGCTGGGCAGTGGAATTCGCATCGTCTTCTGGCTCTGCCAAGCCTTCCCATGTGTCTCTGAATACCCGTCCACAGATGTAGACGAGGCTCAAGCGTAACAAAGGCAGACCGGAAAATATGTTCAGAAGCGCATGCAAGACGGCCGAGGGCCACAGCATCTTACACAGCACGGCAATGGAATGCCGTTTCTTCGCAGTTTCTATTTGGCCCTTTGCAAAGCGGCCGGCAACGATGCCAGTCAAGTATGGGTGCGGGTTCAGAATAATCCTGAAGCAGAGAAACTCGAGGAGATCAAGAGTGACCTGTAAGATGACATCTTCCCTGTTCTTGAACCTCCAGATTTTCGCCAAGAAGGAGTCTAGGGCCATTGGGAAGTAGCCACTGTTTTCTGCTACCATGAAGCCGACGCCGACACTGAAACCAGCAAGCATGATGCCCCGGGGACTGCGAGGCCACGACTTTGACGGAGACGGGTTCCGGCACCAAGGCGCCATGCTCGACCAACAGAGCCATGTCAGAGCAATGAACTTGCCGAGCTCCTCCACTGCACCAACAGCTCCAGTTCTTATCAGGAAGATTGCCAAGCCGGGCCAGAAACAAGCAACGGCTGGAGGCATGAGTATCTCCAAGAGAACCGATAGCACCACACCGAGGGTGGCACCTCTCCATGCGAAGTGAGCCATCGTGCCGCGCTCCATGGACACTGAGCCACGCCGCATCCATCTTCTTAGCTTGACAGCGCCGAAAACTGCCGACCACGCAACACCGTCCGTACCTCCGTGGAGAACTAGCGAGGCAACGATGGCACACCAAATGAACAAATTCCAAGACCATCTTTTCTTTCTTCCGAATGCCACTGGTTGGATACGTGCATCAGCAGCACCGAGTACTGTGGCAGCAGGGGCATGGCCACTATACACCCGACGAAACCCATGCACAAGTTCGCCGCTTGTCCTTGCTTTAGAGAATGGTTCGGGCGGAGGGTGTACATGTGACAGGATGAAACAACTGCTTGGAAGGAGGTGCTTCGAACTCGCATAAACCAAGCTCCCGATCAGCGAGACCAAGCACGACAACAAGAATCTTCGAGTGACCAGCGTTGCGAAGCGGTGAGTGAGAGCCATCCATATGGGTAGTTGTCAAAATTAGGGTCCCTTTTTGGGTCCTTATTATAATACGGCACCTAATATTTAGGGTACCCCAAAAAGGGACCCTAATTTTGACAACCACCCATACGTTTCTGACATCGATACCGGGGCAAGCTTCCCTCGAGCACTCCCGGCTGCCTCGATGTCGGTATTTCCATACAGAAGAATGCTGCAAAAAGAATGATTGAACGTGACACCATGAAGGTAACCGCCCAGAGACTCCAAAACGCCTTAATTAAGGAATATACCTTTAAGCATATTAGAGATCCTATTATAATCTGACGTATATTCCTTAATTACGGGGTTTTGGAGTCTCTGGGCGTCGTTGTCAAGAAAGCGAACCCTAAGTGTCCAGCGCCTGATAATCATGGCCCCCCGTCCCTGCGAAATACCAACCTAAAGTACTCCAAGGTTCAGTCGACAATAGTGCCGATGGTCTGCCGTGCGCGTCTTTTCTATTGGTTATACCTGTTTTGCGAGTTTTGGGGTGCTTACCATAACACTGGTTAACCAAAGCACAAGAGGCGACATTGAAGAGTACAGGTAACCCTGCAGCCCCAGAACGGAACTCCTACAAAATGGTACGCAATGACTCCATAACAGTAGTGAAGTGACTTAGTGGGTTGTTGCCCCTAAACCCTAAACCCTAAACCCTAAACCCTAAACCCTTTGTTGCAACTGTACCTTCCCTATCACCTCCAGCTTTGGACTGAAGAGTCCCCAATGCACTTGGAGGGTCGGTAGGCATAAGTAGGGCTATAAGTAGGGTTTAGGGTTTAGGGTTTAGGGTTTAGGGTAACTATAGTTAGAACCCATATTAGGGGGCTTGCAACTCCACTTATTAGGGTTTAGGGTTTAGGGTGTTGACTACCCATGAACCTCCAAGTACTGGTACTGTCCTGCTTTGCGAAGCAGAGCCTACGAACTGGCATCGCGGTACCACTGTCGGACCTAGCGAGGGTTTGTTACATATCGTGTTGAAGGTGTACTATTATATGGGAGTTTCCGAAAATAAGGGGGTAACGGTTTAGGGTTTAGGATTTAGGGTACCCTATTTTTTGGGGGTCCTTCTAATAAGGATCCTACTGTTTAGAGTGCTATATTAGGGTCCCCTATTTTGGGAACCCCCCCCCCCCATATATCGTGTTGAAGATGGCAGGGTCTTGTCGGTTGTGGGACTATTCCGAATCGAAGACTTTAAATACGAATCGATCACAGACTGTTCACAAGCCCATGACAATGTGTCGAAGTCGCTGAAGCGCTTCGCGACCTCAGAAGGCGTGTTGGAGACCACCAGACATGTAAACTGGCTACTAAGGATGCCTCTCGGGGTTCATAGGCTTTAGTTAGGAGGTTCGCCATGAAACCTGAGTAACCCGAACATTCCTATGATTCGATTTGAAGAAGGCGACCCCCCCAAGAAATACGTGTAGCCCCCAATATTGAAGATTTCGAGTTAAAGACAATTCTCAGCGTAGTGCTGGCAGGCCTGTATTTGGATCTTCAGTGAAGGGCCGTAAATCCTAAACCCTTAAACTCTATACCTTGAACCCTAACAGAAGTTGCTTACAGAAGTTGGCAGGTAGAACCTTGTCTGAGCTGGGAAGTCATACTTGGAGGCTCTGCATGGGCCTTTGGCAAACAGGCATGTACAGGTTTTGTTCAATGGGATAAGGGATAAGTTACCCCGAACCTCCAAGTTGTGACTGCGGACGAAGACACAGTGTTGGAAATAATGCCGCGACCAAGCATGCGTCATAAGGAAGTGCTTTGTCAAACCAGTCTAGCGAACGCACAGCCCCTTAACGAGATACATACAAACCCTGGCCGAGCTGCCCTATGGCTTTGTGTACTTTGTGCTTATAACATTGGGTTTAGAAACACCAAACCCTCAGCCCCGCATGCCTTACACCTACAGGGTGGCGTGGCTGCAGGCAATTCGGAGCCGGACTTCCCACGTGGCGCCGCCGAATTTCAGCTGGATGTAGTACCTGTAGCTTCGAGGCGGCTCAAGGTACGTACAGGTTAATTATTACTGTTTCGAAATACTCTTGACACGATTGCAGCGCAGATGACTGAAGTTGAGGGGTGCTTTCTGGGTGTGGAAGTACTACAACAATCAGGTTCTACATAGGTGGTTGTCAAAATTATGGTCCCTTTTTGGGTCCTTATTATGATACGGCACCTATTATTCAGGGTACCCTAAAAGGGACCATAATTTTGACAACTACCCACATAGCCTCATGCTCCACGGAAAGGTGCATGACGTGATCGCACACATGCGGGTGCCCGAGGGAAAAGAGACCTAGACCCTATTTGGCCTAAAGTGAATCTTAAACAGTGCACCCTTAACAATCCAATCAACACGAAATTACATACAAGTTGTAACTAGTAGGTCCTTGAAAACTAGCCAAAATCGAGAACCTAAGCGTAAATCCTACTGCCAAGGTTTTGATTGCAAACGGTGGCTGGTCTGGCATGCACGATCCAGCTGTGCGTTCTACCCTAAACCCTAAACCCTAAACCCTAAACCCTAAGCCCTGTGACTCCTTCTTCAGGGCAAGGTTGAGAACCCAAAACTCCAACACCCAAAGCTGCGAGCCCGAAGACGTGTCTTGCTTGCCCAGTTTCCTCGGGGAACTAAGGGTTAAGTTTCCAGGCGCTACAACATTCTGAAGCTTGAATAATAATTGAAAATGTCAGTCTGTAGAGCTCCTTCTGCGTATACGATAATATTCTATAGCTATGAAGATACCTGTATTACTACCTTGTTGCACCTGAGCCCTACACCCTCATCTCAAACTGTGAACCCTGACCTTGCCGCACAGGGTCAACTACTATACACCACAGCCTAAAACCTATCCCGTATAGAGCGCGGGTCACTGGTAGGTCGAATGATCCAGCGTCGGACCGGCCTGGATAGGTGGTCGGGGTTTCGGAGTTCAACTTTGGGGTTTAAGGTTAGTCTCGACGATTGGATGTCGTCTTGTCCGAGTAGGCTTCCTGTATGCGACCCCGAGTAAGTGTACTGGCATGAAGTGCAGCACCAGTTCTACAATCCAACTCTACATTCAAAACGTCATGCAAGCACTAGCCTCTGTCAGCTCTGAAGCACCTATGCTCTACCAGACCCTATCTAAAACTCTCTCCTTCAATAACGGCACCCCGCACAGTTCAAGCATGTCCAGATTCAACAGATCCAAAGCCGAGAGCTCAATGTTCTCCGCTTGCCGAAGTAAGAACAAGATAAAGCCCAGACACCTATGCTAATTCGCCTCGGCCCCTGCCGAAGCGTCAGAGGTTCCCACAGGAATTCCATTGCTTCCGAAGCAATGCACCTGCTTCGAGCACAGCCGGGCCGAGGCGGACGACGCGAAGCGTTTTAACAAAAATCTTACCCCTAAACCCTAAACCCACTATTAAGGTTGGTTCCCCTAAACCCTAAACCCAACTATTAAGGTTTCAATTTTCTGAACCCTATACCATCGAACCCTTGGAGAATCGCATTAGAGCGCTTACGAGCCGATCCACTGCAGGCCTTCCAAACATTGGCCGAGAGGTCCGCGAGCGTCGTCATCAAACCATCCCCCGACCTGGAAGGAGGAACTATTCTCAGGCTACTCTTTGGAGATTCTGTCGGGCTTTCGAAACCTGTCATAAGGCTTTCGGTGAGGATCAGGGACCTCGTAAGTTAGGTTATAGGCGCAGTAGTTTGCCTCGTAGGTGATTGTACTTCTAGCTACCCTACTGGTAAGCCTACATGCTGAGGGGTCTGATCTGTCAAATACAGCGTCCGTCGAGGCTTCTGGGTCTACCTAAATCTCCCACGACACTCAATACGAGAAATGAACTATACCTACTGCGGCAGGGTCCAGTATGTGGGCCTTGTAAGGTAAAACTTGAAACCCCGCCCCTGAGGCAGGGGGTAAGTTTTCTCAGAGTTACAGGTAAGGTGAGTGTTCAGAGTTTAGTGGTTGAGGGTCGGCTTGAAGGGATCGCTGATGCTGTGACCTCCCATATTCTCGATTTGAAATTCGAAGAGCATCAGGCCCTTGCACCTTATAACGTGCAAATAACCCTGACAGGCCTAACTTCAAACAGAAAAGCTAACACGCCACACCTCAAACAACTAACCAAAGGCCGAACCCGAAACCGGCAAGCTTTGAACCCAACAAGAGCAAGACAACAGCACTGCAGCACACGCCCAAGGGCATGCCCCAACCCTTTCAAGTGTGTCGTAAGGTTTAGAGCTCTGTGCTCCAACCCCTTCTGATTCCTGAGACACTAGTGACTCGTTGGGGGAGCATACGAACAAAGGAACTCTGGTTTCCTTGCCTATAGCCCTACTTACAAAGTCCCCTGACCCTCCAGTGTAGGGTCCCTTGGATGGTTTAAGGCTCAGGGCTTTTAGGGTCCTTGTTCGGGTTATAGGTCAAGTAGCAGAGGCTTCAGCGTTTGGGGCTTGCGGGGCTTGGCATAATTGAGCGTTACGTTATGCACCCCAAGGCGATTACATACGATCCGCATGACGGCTGGGGAATCTAAGAACAATGTGCTGGGACATTGTGGCTTGCAATTACAGCTAAGACCCTGCAAGCAAACCGCACACAAACCTTGATTCATAGGCCCATTCCAAACGCCGTCCCGCTGCAAACGCTCTAACTGATGGAATCCTTAAAGGAGGGGGGTTCTAAGGGAAGTATATAACCCAGTAATCCCCGATTCTCCCTAGTACTCCCTTAGGTTCCCTAAAGCTCCCCTGGACCCTCCCCCTTGAGCCACCCTCCCTTTAGGATCCTATAATCTAACCTCCAAGCCGACCTGCAGCAACTTTGGTGAACGCCAGCGTTGACTGCGCCCTTTCCGTCGCCATGGCAGGACGGAACCCGGGGCGGCTTACAGGGTTTTGGGGTTTAGGGCTTGGGGTTAGGGGCTTCAGGTTGGGGTCGTAGGGTTGGGAGAGAGTTCTTGGCACGGCTTAGGGCCTGAAGACACAACAGCGATTTAATGCATGTCGAAAAATTAGGCGCGAAGGTCCGACGATCCGTCAAAGCAATGAAGGCTGTATCAGCTTGGCTGAGTCATGTTGAATATAGATTGACAATGGTCTCATGCGAGGATGCTTTGTCAAAGGCCGCTTCAAGTGTCCGTGTTTGTGCATTCTTCTAAGCCGTGCTATGCGCTGGCATGCAGCGAAACTTGACAAGCGAGATTCGGAGCCAGCAAGAATCAGCGAGGACTCGGTTCCAGACAAAAACGCTGCTCTCAATGCCCATGCGGTCCGACGCCACATGCCCAGACCCAGAAAAGAACTCTAAATGTAGGGGCCTTAATAATTGGAATAGGGCTTCGGGGCCCATTCTACTATAATTATAATAAGGAAACCCCCAACATAGTATAGGAAATTATCTAGGCCCCCTATATTATGAAACCCGAGCTGTACTTGAAAATGCTCACTGGAAGTGGACTCCTTGGAGCGGTGTCTGACTTCGACCATGGCAGGGCATTTAGGGTTTAGGGTTTAGGGTTAAGGGATTCTGCATGGACGAGGGTGTAGGATTTAGCTTAGGGTCTAGGTGCGTGTCAGGTTACACGTAGGGTTCTGAATGGTTTTAGGGCTTAGGGTTTGGGTTTTGCAGTTTATACTGGTCAGGGCTTGGATTTGGGGTTTGCGGTTTTAGGTGTTCGTAGGGTTACATACAATAGAGTTTCAATTTGGTTCTTAAAGGGTGGGTTTGGACTCTGGGATTGCAAATATTTCTTCAGGCGTTGGGGTGCCATTCTACTTTGCCTGGATTCCCCAAAAACCCTGAGGGCGCCCGCTTTCCTACTGTTCAGCTCAAACGCCATGGGCACAGGCGCGCAAAAGCACGGTTAGGGCTTCTTGTACCCTAAACCCTAAACCCTAAACCCTAAACCCTAAACCCGAAACTCTAAACCCTAAACCCGAAACTCTAAACCCTAAACCCTAAACCATAAACTCTAAACCCTAAACCATAAACTCTAAACCCTAAACCCGAAAATCTAAACCCTAAACCCGAAACTCTAAACCCTAAGCCCTAAACCATAAACTCTAAACCCTAAACCATAAACTCTAAACCCTAAACCCGAAACTCTAAACCCTAAACCCGAAACTCTAAACCCTAAACCCTAAACTCTAAACCCTAAACCCGAAACTCGAACCTCTAAACCCTAAACCCTAAACGTTTGGGTTTCTGATCGGATCTTAGTTCTAAGGGCTTTGTGGACTCCGGGCTCGCGGCTCCCACTTGGAGCATCCGCCAAGGTTTTGGAGTTAACGGGTTAGGGTTTAGGGTCTAGGGTCTAGGGTCCAGAGTCTAGGGTTTAGGGTTTAGGGTTTAGGGTTTAGGGATTGGGGGGTTGGGGGGTTGGGGTGCAAAGGTTCACCCTAACCCTCCAGGTACGTACTACAGAGGGTACTAGAGCCCCTACCCTAAGGCTCATGGACCCCCATAGTGAAAGCCCAAACCTTAGCCCCCAAAGCCCAAACCTTCCCCTAGAAGGCCCATTAGAGCAATAAGAGCCTTAGGGTAGGGCCCCATATGGCAGGTACCTGGAAGGTTAGGGTTTAGCGTTTAGGAAGCAGGTCAAAGGGAGCCCTCTGACAGCAAAGAATGAAGCTGACCATGAGAACCTGCTATGCCATGCTGCTTGGGTGGTTCTGGCTTACCCGTAGGCCCTAAAGTAGTTCCTTTTGGGGGGTTCATATATAGAATCCTATAAGGTAAACCCAAAAAGGAACCACTATGGGGCCTATGGGTATTGCTGCAGGTCTAGACATGGAAACATCATCTCCACGTGTGACACTATTGTCGATGCATTCTTTATCTTGGTCCCTTGGCACTTGTGCCATAAGCCTTCACAGCATGCACAAGATACAGACTGACACAAACTCCTTGCTAGACGCAGATGCTATCGCTGTGATTTCCGACACACTTGATGCTGTTCATGATGTTAAAAGTAGTCATGATGTTGATGGTGACAACAAGAAGTCGGTGCTTCACGATGCGTAGGCAGATGTAAGCAGGCGGTTTTCCTTGCTGGTGATGGAAGGTACCTCAAGTCTGTTGTTGTAGGAAAACGTAACGCCTTTCTGTTGCTCATGCTGGCCTTACTGTCGGTATGGCTCGTCGTTCTTGGTGCCGCTACGGTTGTTGCCGTGAATGATACGTAGCCCTCATTGCTGTCGCGACTTTCTTGCTGAGGTTGTTGTCACTGCAGTTTCCACTTGTGTTGTCCTTCTTCTTCTTCGTCTTCATACTGTACTCCTGGTTGGTATCCTTGCGCCCCTTGCTGTGGCTGCTTTTGTCGCCAGCAATTTTGCTCCTGCCGCTGTGGTGGTGGTGGTGGTTACAGCAATGATGATGGTCACTTCTCTTGCTGAAGCTTATCGACGCATCCTTTAACATATACTGCATCGAATGATTGATGGTTCTGTTCTGTGCACGCTTTTTTGCCACGCTCAAGACTTGCCTGGCACTGTTGGCCCCGACCTGTTTCATGTGGATCATGGACCTTTTGATGGCAGTAATTTTGCTAAAAGCCGTCATCAGAATCATGTCACCCGAACCCCTCTCCTAGAAAAGTCTCAGGCTTGAAATATCGCGGCGGTCACAGCTCCCCCCTAAACCCTAAACCCTAAACCCCAAAGCCCTATGGGATTTAGGGTCTAGGGGGGAGTCCTGAACCCTGAACCCTGGGAGCCGGAACCCGCCATGCTCTCTGAAGGGTAGTTTTCAGAATTAGGGTCCCTTTTAGGGGTCCTTTCATAAGGGTGCCGTACTCTACTGGGGACCTAAACCCTAAACCCTAAACCCTAAACCCTAGACCCTAAACACTGAA